CAGTACTAGTAGTATCAGTAGTAGTATCATCATCATCAGTAGTATCATCAGTAGTAGTATCATCATCAGTAGTAGTATCATCATCAGTAGTAGTATCATCAGTAGTAGTATCATCAGTAGTAGTATCATCAGTAGTATCATCATCAGTAGTATCATCATCAGTAGTATCATCAGTAGTATCATCATCAGTAGTAGTATCATCAATACTAGTAATATCAATAGTCGTAGTATCATCAGTAGTATCATCATCATCAGTAGTAGTATCAATAGTAGTATCATCAGTAGTAGTATCATCAGTAGTAGTATCATCAATACTAGTAATATCATCAATAGTCATAGTATCATCAGTAGTATCATCATCAGTACTATCATCATCAGTAGTATCATCAGTAGTATCATCATCAATACTAGTAATGTCATCAATACTAGTAATGTCATCAATAGTCGTAGTATCATCAGTAGTATCATCATCATCAGTAGTAGTATCAATAGTAGTATCATCAATAGTAGTATCATCAGTAGTAGTAGTATCAATACTAGTAGTATCATCAATAGCAGTAGTATTATCATCGTCCCCGTGTCTCTCTCTCTCCGTGTCTCTCTCCCCGTGTCTCTCTCTTCCCGTGTCTCTCTCTCCCCCCGTGTCTCTCTCTCTCTCTCCCCGTGTCTCTCCCCGTGTCTCTCTCCCCGTGTCCCTCTCTCTCCCCGTGTCTCTCCCCGTGTCTGTCTCCCCGTGTCTCTCTCTCTCCCCGTGTCTCTCTCCCCGTGTCTGTCTCTCTCCCCGTGTCTTTCTCTCCCCGTGTCTCGCTCCCCGTATCTCTCTCCCCGTGTCTCTCTCTCCCCGTGTCTCTCTCCCCGTGTCTCTCCCCGTGTCTCTCTCCCCGTGTCTCTCTCCCCGTGTCTTTCTCCCCGTGTCTCTCTCCCCGTGTCTCTCTCCCCGTGTCTCTCTCCCCGTGTCTCTCTCCCCGTGTCTCTCCACGTGTCTCTCTCCCCATGTCTCTCTCCCCGTGTCTCTCTCCCCGTGTCTCTCCCCGTGTCTCTCTCCCCGTGTCTCTCCCCGTGTCTCTCTCCCCGTGTCCCTCTCTCCCCGTGTCTCTCTCCCCGTGTCTGTCTCCCCATGTCTCTCTCTCCCCGTGTCTCTCTCTCTCCCCGTGTCTCTCTCTCTCCCCGTGTCTCTCTCTCTCCCCGTGTCTCTCTCTCTCCCCGTGTCTCTCTCCCCGTGTCTCTCTCCCCGTGTCTCTCTCTCTCCCCGTGTCTCTCTCCCCGTTTCTCTCTCTCTCCCCGTGTCTCTCTCCCCGTGTCTCTCTCCCCGTGTCTCTCTCCCCGTGTCTCTCTCCCCGTGTCTCTCTCCCCGTGTCTCTCTCCCCGTGTCTCTCTCCCCGTGTCTCTCTCCCCGTGTCTCTCTCCCCGTGTCTCTCTCCCCGTGTCTCTCTCCCCGTGTCTCTCTCCCCGTGTCTCTCTCACCGTGTCCCCGTGTCTCTCCCCGTGTCTCTCTCTCCCGGTGTCTCTCTCTCCCCGTGTCTCTCTCCCCGTGTCTCCCCGTGTCTCTCACCGTCTCTCTCCCCGTGTCTCTCACCGTCTCTCTCCCCTTGTCTCTCTCCCCGTGTCCCTCTCTCTCCCCGTGTCTCTCTCCCCGTGTCTGTCTCTCCCCGTGTCTGTCTCCCCGTGTCTCTCTCTCTCCCCGTGTCTCTCTCTCTCCCCGTGTTTCTCTCTCCCCGTGTCTGTATCTCTCCCCGTGTCTTTCTCCCCGTGTCTCTCTCCCCGTGTCTCTCTCCCCGTGTCTCTCTCCCCGTGTCTCTCTCCCCGTGTCTCTCTCCCCGTGTCTCTCTCTCCCCGTGTCTCTCTCTCCCCGTGTCTCTCTCCCCGTGTATCTCTCCCCGTGTCTCTCTCCCCGTGTCTCTCTCCCCGTGTCTCTCTCCCCGTGTCTCTCTCCCCGTGTCTCTCTCCCCGTGTCCCTCTCTCTCCCCGTGTCCCTCTCTCTCCCCGTGTCTCTCTCCCCCGGGGCTGTCTCTCCCCGTGTCTGTCTCCCCGTGTCTCTCTCTCTCCCCGTGTCTCTCTCTCTCTCCCCGTGTGTCTCTCTCTCTCCCCGTGTCTCTCTCTCTCCCCGTGTCTCTCTCCCCGTGTCTCTCTCCCCGTGTCTCTCTCTCTCTCCCCGTGTCTTTCTCTCTCCGTCTTTCTCTCTCCGTGTCTCTCTCCCCGTGTCTCTCTCCCCGTGTCTCTCTCCCCGTGTCTCTCTCCCCGTGTCTCCGTGTCTCTCTCCCCGTGTCTCTCTCTGTGTCTCTCCCCGTGTCCCCGTGTCTCTCCCCGTGTCTCTCCCTGTGTCTCTCTCCCCGTGTCTCTCTCCCCGTGTCTCTCCCCATGTCTCTCTCTCCCCGTGTCTCTCTCCCCGTGTCTCTCTCTCTTCCCGTGTCTCTCTCACCGTGTCTCTCTCCCCGTGTCTCTCTCTCTCCCCGTGTCTCTCTCTCTCCCCGTGTCTCTCCCCGTGTCTCTCCCCGTGTCTCTCTCCCCGTGTCTCTCTCACCGTGTCTTTCTCCCCGTGTCTCTCTCACCGTGTGTCCGTGTCTCTCTCCCCGTGTCTCTCTCACCGTGTCCCCGTGTCTCTCCCCGTGTCTCTCTCCCCGTGTCTCTCTCCCCGTGTCTCTCTCACTGTGTCCCCGTGTCTCTCCCCGTGTCCCTCTCTCTCCCCGTGTCTCTCCCCGTGTCTCTCTCTTCCCGTGTCTCTCTCACCGTGTCTCTCTCACCGTGTCCCCGTGTCTCTCCCCGTGTCTCTCTCCCCGTGTCTCTCTCCCTGTGTCTCTCTCCCCGTGTCTCTCCCCGTGTCTCTCTCACCGTGTCTCTCCCCGTGTCCCCGTGTCTCTCTCCCCGTGTCTCTCTCTGTGTCTCTCACCGTGTCCCTGTGTCTCTCTCCCCGTGTCTCTCTCTCTCCCCGTGTCTCTCTCTTCCCGTGTCTCTCTCACCGTGTCTCTCTCACCGTGTCCCCGTGTCTCTCCCCGTGTCTCTCTCCCCGTGTCTCTCTCCCCGTGTCTCTCTCCCTGTGTCTCTCTCCCCGTGTCTCTCCCCGTGTCTCTCTCACCGTGTCTCTCCCCGTGTCCCCGTGTCTCTCTCCCCGTGTCTCTCTCTGTGTCTCTCACCGTGTCCCTGTGTCTCTCTCCCCGTGTCTCTCTCCCCGTGTCTCTCCCCGTGTCTCTCTCACCGTGTCTCTCCCCGTGTCTCTCTCCCCGTGTCTCTCTCTGTGTCTCTCCCCGTGTCCCCGTGTCTCTCTCCCCGTGTCTCTCTCTGTGTCTCTCACCGTGTCCCCGTGTCTCTCTCACCGTGTCTCCGTGTCTCTCTGCAGCTGTACGAGGGAGCTGATCAGGGCAAGCCGCCTCCAGTGGTCTCTGTGGACGGCTGGAACGCTTACTACTTTAGTGACATCAAACAGCTGGTAACTATCACTAACTAGCACTATAACTATCACTATCACTAACTATCACTAACTACTACTTTAGTGACATCAAACAGCTGGTAACTATCACTAACTAGCACTATAACTATCACTATCACTAACTATCACTAACTACTACTTTAGTGACATCAAACAGCTGGTAACTATCACTAACTAGCACTATAACTATCACTATCACTAACTATCACTAACTACTACTTTAGTGACATCAAACAGCTGGTAACTATCACTAACTAGCACTATAACTATCACTATCACTAACTATCACTAACTACTACTTTAGTGACATCAAACAACTGGTAGCTATCACTAACTAGCACTATAACTATCACTAACTATCACTAACTACTACTTTAGTGACATCAAACAGCTGGTAACTATCACTAACTAGCACTATAACTAGTACTAACTATAACTATCACTAACTACTACTTTAGTGACATCAAACAGCTGGTAACTATCACTAACTAGCACTATAACTAGTACTATAACTATCACTAACTATCACTAACTACTACTTTAGTGACATCAAACAGCTGGTAACTATCACTAACTAGCACTATAACTATCACTAACTATCACTATCACTAACTATCACTAACTACTACTTTAGTGACATCAAACAGCTGGTAACTATCACTAACTAGCACTATAACTAGCACTAACTATCACTATCACTAACTATCACTAACTACTACTTTAGTGACATCAAACAGCTGGTAACTATCACTAACTAGCACTATAACTAGTACTAACTATAACTATCACTAACTATCACTAACTACTACTTTAGTGACATCAAACAGCTGGTAACTATCACTAACTAGCACTATAACTAGCACTAACTATAACTATCACTAACTATCACTAACTACTACTTTAGTGACATCAAACAACTGGTAACTATCACTAACTAGCACTATAACTAGCACTAACTATAACTATCACTAACTATCACTAACTACTACTTTAGTGATGTCAAACAGCTGGTAACTATCACTAACTAGCACTATAACTAGCACTAACTATAACTATCACTAACTATCACTAACTACTACTTTAGTGACATCAAACAACTGGTAACTATCACTAACTAGCACTATAACTAGCACTAACTATAACTATCACTAACTATCACTAACTACTACTTTAGTGATGTCAAACAGCTGGTAACTATCACTAACTAGCACTATAACTAGCACTAACTATCACTATCATTAACTACTACTTTAGTGACATCAACCAGCTGGTAACTATCACTAACTAGCACTATAACTAGCACTAACTATAACTATCACTAACTATCACTAACTACTACTTTAGTGACATCAAACAGCTGGTAACTATCACTAACTAGCACTATAATTATCACTAACTATCACTATCACTAACTATCACTAACTACTACTTTAGTGACATCAAACAACTGGTAACTATCACTAACTAGCACTATAACTAGCACTAACTATCACTATCTATCACTATCACTAACTACTACTTTAGTGACATCAAACAACTGGTAACTATCACTAACTAGCACTATATCTAGCACTAACTATCACTATCACTAACTACTACTTTAGTGACATCAACCAGCTGGTAACTATCACTAACTAGCACTATAACTAGCACTAACTATAACTATCACTAACTATCACTAACTACTACTTTAGTGACATCAAACAACTGGTAACTATCACTAACTAGCACTATAACTAGCACTAACTATCACTATCTATCACTATCACTAACTACTACTTTAGTGACATCAAACAACTGGTAACTATCACTAACTAGCACTAACTATCACTAACTATCACTAACTACTACTTTAGTGACATCAAACAACTGGTAACTATCACTAACTAGCACTATAACTAGCACTAACTATCACTATCTATCACTATCACTAACTATCACTATCTATCACTATCACTAACTATCACTAACTACTACTTTAGTGACATCAAACAACTGGTAACTATCACTACCTAGCACTATAACTAGCACTAACTATCACTAATTATCACTAGCACTAACTACTACTTTAGTGACATCAAACAACTGGTAACTATCACTAACTAGCACTATAACTAGCACTAACTATCACTAACTAGCACTAACTACTACTTTAGTGACATCAAACAACTGGTAACTATCACTAACTATCACTATCACTAACTATCACTACCTACTACTTTAGTGACATCAAACAGCTGGTAACTATCACTAACTATCACTATAACTAGCACTAACTATCACTAATTATCACTAACTAGCACTAACTACTACTTTAGTGACATCAAACAACTGGTAACTATCACTAACTAGCACTATAACTAGCACTAACTATCACTATCTATCACTATCACTAACTATCACTAACTATCACTATCTATCACTATCACTAACTACTACACTACTTTAGTGACATCAAACAACTGGTAACTATCACTAACTAGCACTATAACTATCACTAACTATCACTATCACTAACTATCACTAACTACTACTTTAGTGACATCAAACAGCTGGTAACGATCACTAACTATCACTATAACTAGTACTAACTATCACTATCACTAACTATCACTAACTACTACTTTAGTGACATCAAACAGCTGGTAACTATCACTAACTAGCACTATAACTAGTACTATAACTATCACTATCACTAACTATCACTAACTACTACTTTAGTGACATCAAACAGCTGGTAACTATCACTAACTAGCACTATAACTATCACTAACTATCACTATCACTAACTACTACTTTAGTGACATCAAACAGCTGGTAACTATCACTAACTAGCACTATAACTAGTACTATAACTATCACTATCTATCACTATCACTAACTACTACTTTAGTGACATCAAACAGCTGGTAACTATCACTAACTAGCACTATAATTATCACTAACTATCACTATCACTAACTATCACTAACTACTACTTTAGTGACATCAAACAGCTGGTAACTATCACTAACTAGCACTATAACTATCACTAACTATCACTATCACTAACTATCACTAACTACTACATTAGAGACATCAAACAACTGGTAACTATCACTAACTATCACTATAACTAGTACTAACTATCACTATCACTAACTATCACTAACTATAACTATCACTAACTATCACTATCACTAACTATCACTATTACTATCACTAACTATCACTAACTATAACTATCACTAACTATCACTAGTACTATAACTATCACTAACTATCACTAACTACTTCTTTAGTGACATCAAACAACTGGTAACTATCACTAACTATCACTATTACTATCACTAACTATCACTAACTATAACTATCACTAACTATAACTATCACTAACTATCACTAACTACTTCTTTAGTGACGTCAAGCAGCTGGTAACTATCACTAACTAGCACTATAACTATCACTAACTATCACTAACTATCACTATCACCAACTATCACTATCACTAACTATCACTATCACTAACTATCACTATCACTAACTATCACTAACTATCACTATCACTAACTATCACTAACTAGCACTATAACTAGTACTAACTATCACTAACTATCACTATCACTAACTATCACTATCACTAACTATCACTATCACTAACTATCACTATCACTAACTATCACTAACTATCACTATCACTAACTATCACTATCACTAACTATCACTATCACTAAGTATTACTATCACTAACTATCACTATCACTAACTATCACTAACTATCACTATCACTAACTATCACTAACTAGCACTATAACTAGTACTAACTATCACTAACTATCACTAACTATCACTAACTACTACTTTAGTGACATCAAACAGCTGGTAACTATCACTAACTAGCACTATAACTAGTACTATAACTATCACTATCACTAACTATCACTAACTACTACTTTAGTGACATCAAACAGCTGGTAACTATCACTAACTAGCACTATAACTAGTACTATAACTATCACTATCTATCACTATCACTAACTACTACTTTAGTGACATCAAACAGCTGGTAACTATCACTAACTAGCACTATAATTATCACTAACTATCACTATCACTAACTATCACTAACTACTACTTTAGTGACATCAAACAGCTGGTAACTATCACTAACTAGCACTATAACTATCACTAACTATCACTATCACTAACTATCACTAACTACTACATTAGAGACATCAAACAACTGGTAACTATCACTAACTATCACTATAACTAGTACTAACTATCACTATCACTAACTATCACTAACTATAACTATCACTAACTATCACTATCACTAACTATCACTATTACTATCACTAACTATCACTAACTATAACTATCACTAACTATCACTAGTACTATAACTATCACTAACTATCACTAACTACTTCTTTAGTGACATCAAACAACTGGTAACTATCACTAACTATCACTATTACTATCACTAACTATCACTAACTATAACTATCACTAACTATAACTATCACTAACTATCACTAACTACTTCTTTAGTGACGTCAAGCAGCTGGTAACTATCACTAACTAGCACTAACTATCACTAACTATCACTAACTATCACTATCACCAACTATCACTATCACTAACTATCACTATCACTAACTATCACTATCACTAACTATCACTAACTATCACTATCACTAACTATCACTAACTAGCACTATAACTAGTACTAACTATCACTAACTATCACTATCACTAACTATCACTATCACTAACTATCACTATCACTAACTATCACTATCACTAACTATCACTAACTATCACTAACTATCACTATCACTAACTATCACTATCACTAACTATCACTATCACTAACTATCACTATCACTAACTATCACTATCACTAACTATCACTATCACTAACTATCACTAACTATCACTATCACTAACTATCACTAACTAGCACTATAACTAGTACTAACTATCACTAACTATCACTAACTATCACTAACTACTACTTTAGTGACATCAAACAGCTGGTAACTATCACTAACTAGCACTATAACTAGTACTATAACTATCACTATCACTAACTATCACTAACTACTACTTTAGTGACATCAAACAGCTGGTAACTATCACTAACTAGTACTATAACTATCACTAACTATCACTATCACTAACTACTACTTTAGTGACATCAAACAGCTGGTAACTATCACTAACTAGCACTATAACTAGTACTATAACTATCACTATCTATCACTGTCACTAACTACTACTTTAGTGACATCAAACAGCTGGTAACTATCACTAACTAGCACTATAATTATCACTAACTATCACTATCACTAACTATCACTAACTACTACTTTAGTGACATCAAACAGCTGGTAACTATCACTAACTAGCACTATAACTATCACTAACTATCACTATCACTAACTATCACTAACTACTACATTAGAGACATCAAACAACTGGTAACTATCACTAACTATCACTATAACTAGTACTAACTATCACTATCACTAACTATCACTAACTATAACTATCACTAACTATCACTATCACTAACTATCACTATTACTATCACTAACTATCACTAACTATAACTATCACTAACTATCACTAGTACTATAACTATCACTAACTATCACTAACTACTTCTTTAGTGACATCAAACAACTGGTAACTATCACTAACTATCACTATTACTATCACTAACTATCACTAACTATAACTATCACTAACTATCACTAACTATCACTAACTACTTCTTTAGTGACGTCAAGCAGCTGGTAACTATCACTAACTAGCACTATAACTATCACTAACTATCACTAACTATCACTATCACCAACTATCACTATCACTAACTATCACTATCACTAACTATCACTATCACTAACTATCACTAACTATCACTATCACTAACTATCACTAACTAGCACTATAACTAGTACTAACTATCACTAACTATCACTATCACTAACTATCACTATCACTAACTATCACTATCACTAACTATCACTATCACTAACTATCACTATCACTAACTATCACTAACTATCACTATCACTAACTATCACTATCACTAACTATCACTATCACTAACTATCACTATCACTAACTATCACTATCACTAACTATCACTATCACTAACTATCACTAACTATCACTATCACTAACTATCACTAACTAGCACTATAACTAGTACTAACTATCACTAACTATCACTAACTATCACTAACTATCACTATCACTAACTATCACTATCACTAACTATCACTAACTATAACTATCACTAACTATCACTAGTACTATAACTATCACTAACTATCACTAACTACTTCTTTAGTGACATCAAACAACTGGTAACTATCACTATCACTAACTATCACTATCACTAACTATCACTATCACTAACTATCACTATCACTAACTATCACTATCACTAACTATCACTAACTAGCACTTTAACTAGTACTAACTATCACTAACTATCACTAACTATCACTATCACTAACTATCACTATCACTAACTATCACTATCACTAACTATCACTAGCTACTTCTTTAGTGACGTCAACAGCTGGTAACTATCACTAACTAGCACTATAACTATCACTAACTATCACTAACTATTACTATCACTAACTATCACTATCACTAACTATCACTATCACTAACTACTTCTTTAGTGACGTCAAACAGCTGGTAACTATCACTAACTATCACTATTACTATCACTAACTATCACTAACTATAACTATCACTAACTATCACTATCACTAACTATCACTATTACTATCACTAACTATCACTAACTATAACTATCACTAACTATCACTATCACTAACTATCACTAACTATCACTAACTACTTTAGTGACGTCAAACAGCTGGTAACTATCACTAACTATCACTATTACTATCACTAACTATCACTCTCACTAACTACTTCTTTAGTGACGTCAAACAACTGGTAACTATCACTATCACTAACTATCACTATCACTAACTATCAATAACTATCACTAACTATCAC